TCAGTAAAGCATGGACACAGTCCCTTGATTTGAGGTTATTCTCTCTCTCTCTCTCACACTCTGTTTTTGTGCTTATTCTGAATTCAATGTTTCCATGTTGTTGTGTAGGGCTTTATTTCATCATAGAACACGAAAACAAATTGTTTCAGCTTATTTTTGTTGAGTTATAATAAGAAATGCAATGCCCCTTGACTCTCTGTATCTGTCTGTTGATGATATCTGGAGAGTTTCCTTTATTTTCTCTTATGTATGGCTTGGTTCATTTTTCGAATTTGAATTTGATATCTATGTTGAAATTTTGGAAGCTGAAGTCTTCATAATTCTTCTGTAGTCTTCTTGCTCGTTAAATTGACGAATTTTTTTCCGGTCTAAATGGCGCCAAAACTGAACAATAAAACGGATTGGGCTATTAGAGAAAGAGCCCATTATTTGTCATAAAACGTCTTGTTGGGTTTAGAGCAATATAATTAACCCAACCAAAGTACAATTATCTTACGGGGGACACAGCTAAACCCATAATAAGATAACTGATCTCGTGAGTAGTTTAACAAATCTTACTTCTCGTGATTATAGGTAGTTTAACAAATCTTACTTGTCTAATAATATTTTGTTATATAAGTTTGTTGTCCGTAAAACAACACAAATTTCCACTCAAAATGTAATGAAGTAATTTTCAAAACAGATGCCCAAAATGTAGTCAGTGATTCATCGAGTTCGTTGATGCAGCATGTTCTTCAACCCTTCCGTCAGGACATTTTAAAACCCTTGCTCAAAATTTCTTGGACATTCGGATATAGTTTGCAACGCGGGATTAAGTCGCAAATAACATTTGTCTGACAGGTTACATGGTAGTTTCTCTTTCCCCTGTAACCTGGTTACGTTCTGATTGTCCTTTGTGGTTATAATAATAGTCTCCAGTAACGGCTGATGAACCAGACATGTTATGTAATCTTTTGGAGTAGTGAAATCGAAGTTGAGCCCTTAAACAATAGAAATTCGTGAATATTATTGTCTAATTCATCATGTGATATTCTGATGTTGCGGTGAGAGTCATCAGATTTAGTCTATTTTCCACGGAATGAATTATTTGTTGCTTCAATAATTACAAACAAACAAAAGATTCCTGGAAAATATGGCCCATGTGGTTCTGGATTAGACAAATGAAATAACACAAAGGTATATTGATTGGACAAACAATATACACTATGTTTCAGCTACTAAAATTCATCGTATATATGATGATAAATTCGAAGAAAACAATTCACTCTCTACCAATTTACTCGAATATTAAAAAAAAAAAAAAATTGATCAGATTAGCAAGCAATCTCATGAAAAATGGATTAGTACTTTAATCAATCGTTGTAACATAAGGACGATTCTCTTTAATTTCTAGTTCAAAAAATAGGACATGCTCGATCTTTTATGAGTTTAACGATCGCTAGAAAAGTTAGTGTCTATGTTTACGTTACATAGTATAATAAAACTGATATTCTAATACATAATTACACATTAACAACAATTACAAAAAAATACATTTAGTTATACTAATTTTTGTGTTTGTTATTTGCCAATTGTCATCAACAAATTATTGGATGCTTGCCCCACATTATATTGTCTCCCTACCTCATGATAATAAACTCTTTCTTGAATCTAAGAATTTATTCCATAAATAATTCGTTCAATTGTGCCGAAATAATTTGGTAAATATTACTATTTTCATTGCCGACATTTGTTAAATAATAACTATAATTAAAGAAACTTTAGCTATGCTAAATGGAATTGATTCTATTGATGTGATATAATTGGATATCCAATCATTTTTTATAACTCTTCCAATCTCAAAAAATTTAAGTCTTATAATTTTGAATCTATTCTCTTTTCTATAAAGGTTCTAGATGGAGATGTATGGGATATGGCGCATTTAGGTGCAGGAACAGACGAAATAGTATCAAAATTCTATAGATATTAATAATTACATCAAATTCGTCATATGTCTATATATATATCTTTTTCCAATATGAATCGACTCTCTTATGATTATATATTATCCATATTTTAATATCAATTATACTTTTTAATTAGTTGGAGAGACATTAGATGATGATAACCATGTTACCACTTCCATAGAATTTACACTTTACGGGACACGATTCAATGTTTTTTTGTACTTGTTGAAGTTCAATGTACATAAGATGTCATTTAAACCTATATAATATAGATTCGTATTACTTCTTTTCATAAAGCTAAAAACAACTAATAAGTGAAAAGATTAATATATTAATTATTTATGTGGTGTATGTTATGGTTTTGTGATATGCTATAATATGGTTTCTTTCTAAAAACGCCGTCGATCTTATCTTATTGGGGTTATTTTCCTAACAACTAAACTTTCATTCATGATTTAGCAATTACAATCGATCGAGATAAACATCCTTAGATATATCCGATGTGCATGCAAGACGAAAGATTAGAACAACGAAGCATACAACATGATACAAAGATAGAGACACAAACTCAACAAAGTTTGACAATACATGAGAAGAGTTGCCATAGCGATCAAAGATGAGATCTAACAAACTTCAATTCAAATATTTCAAACGACTTAAAGATAATCAACTTAATATGTTATTGGTTTTCTTTTCTATGATTTTTCTTATGAATTTTTTTGTGTGTGATATATGTGTATAAGCAAGAAAAGAAAAAGTATATGCAACGATTTTTTTTCTTTTCTTTATAATGTCTTCATATTAAAATCAAAATGTATATATCCACCAATTATTTTTCAGTTTGATGGTTCATAGATAGATTTATGTGTGATACATTTGTTTAACAACTAAAGATTTATGTGTAAAACATTTGTTAAAAAAAAAAAACAGGTTTTGAACCTTAACTAATGCAGAAAACTAAACTAAACTTTATGGTTTACGAAGCTGCATGTTCTAGACAAACGACTGCTCAATTTGGAACATCAAAGTACAAGTTTATATGCTAAATAATATTACTATAATTAAGATAAAGATGCATCTTACCAAGTTGGTCATTACATAATGATACTTTATGTCATCGATATTCTCCTTCTCTCTTTACATATATATACATTAGTATATAGTCATATTAATTATATGATTTGGTATATTGCTCTGTGTACGTATTATACATACATGAGCCTAATAATAGAGAAAAGGCTATGAAAGAAAGGCTATGTGTGACCAAGATTTTGTAGGTACTTATCTTGAATCTTTGAACTTCATCAGAATTGCAGTACAAGTACAAAATTTAAATCCTTTTATAAGATTTATGTTATAAACAATTACAGTGGGTGTGGGTTGTTTGATTCAAATAATTAATGAATATTATAAATATTGATTCAGATATATGTATAGTCTTCTATAAACTTGATTTTCTTGTAGTTAAATAATTCTTCTCAACATGAGTTAATTACTTGTATTATTATTTGTACTAAATTGTTAAAAATATATCTATACATTATGTGTATTTTAATAATATACTTTGTCCTTGTACTTTTTTTCTTTTTTTTTTCTAAATGTCATTGTACTTAAATACATAATTTTTCGTCTTTTTAGCCGTAGAAGCAATAGGCAGAATATCCACGTGTACTAATAGGTTCTATGTAGACAAAATTAAGATCCCTTTTATATTTTTATTTCTTCAATTTAAAACAAAACAATATTCTTATGTATTTATATCAAAAAGCAAGTTTCCCGGGAACAAGGTCCGGCCGCTCGAGTGTAAAGCAGACAATTATTATGAAACATAAAAGCAAATTTCTAAATTTTAATTGATTACAGAAAAGAAGAAAACTCAATTTAAAAATTCAGCATATTGAAGGACTAGTCATGTTTGTTTGATGTAAATCGATTGGTGCAAGTTTCTTTACACCAAACTTTGAAGTAAGGAAAAAAAAAGAGGTATAATAAACAGAAATATACATCTTAAATGAAGTTTACGTATTTCTTTGAGATATTTTAGAGATATTTTTTTCGTAATCTGTGAAGTTGAATTTTAAAATTAAAAAGTGCATATTTTACCAATAAATCAAATGAATTTTCAAAAATTTCGAATTTACGATTTACATAATATTAAGGGACCTATTTGCATAGCCTTGCAACAAAATATATATTGAAAATTTGGTTACACTGTGGCCCTCCCTGTTCCAAGAGCCTCCGCTAGTTGAACCCTGTACACTAGGAAATGAATTGATGGTGGTTGGTATAACAAAAATTCCATTGATAATAATATAAATTTGACTTCTTATCACCGTAAAAATGTTGTAACATTCAAAATTTGATCATGTAAACTGTACTGGTTTTTGTCAGCGTAAAACTTGTACGTTAATAAAGATTAAATTTCCTAGTTTTTTTCTTATTTTGTAGAACTCTTCTAGCTAATTACTAACCAATTGAGATTGTAAAGACTAACCATTAAGTGATAATAAAGGAAATTTGACCCTAATATCTTTATAAGTGCAAAAAAAATAAAATCTAAGAATAAGAAAAACGTGGAGAAAATATTAACCACCCACTTATTCAGTAAACATATATATAATTTCAAATTGTTAGTGCAACAAAAAAAAAATGCATAAACATTGTGTGGGTTTTGCCGGTTTATGTTTACCTTTGTTTTTGCTATAAAAAGCCATAACTCCTTCATTTTCTTTAGACATCTCTTCTTCTCTCATCTCTCTTTTCTTCTCTCTTTTCCTCACATAAACTCTCTTTTCTTACTATTAAATCCATATGGTACCTCAAATTAATCTATGGTCATCTAGGGTTATCTTGAAGATTAGAATTGATTCTAGCACACACAGAGAGGAAGATCATTGCATCCAGAATCACAAACATGGCCTATCTTTTATCTTTTCTTTTTGATCTAAGTCACTGTTTTATGCTATATATAGTATAATCAAATTCTTTACATGTGCTTGTATGTATGCGTATATATAGTAACGGAATTGTTAATATGCTTATAGATGTTGAGTTGGTGGAGGAAGAGAGCTTTCTTCGGTCCACTCATGGAGTAATATGTGAGATTTAATTGACTCTCGACTCATTCATCCAAATACCAAATGAAAGAATTTGTTCTCATATGGTAAATGAATGAATGATGCGAGAGACAAATTGAGTCTTCACTTCTCTATGCTTGGACTGAAGGGAGCTCCCTATTTTTATCTTTCTCAGAGTACCACATTTTATATCTATATATATACAAGCATTGAATTCGTGTGTATAACTCAAGATCAAGTTCAACATTGATCGATATGAATATAAATAAGTTTGACATTGGACTCATATGAGTGTTTATAGTGTTGTTTTGCAGGATTCAGTTCAGCCATGGACCTCCTTGAACATCTTCGAGTCCAGTCTACGAAGATTTTTTTTTATCTTTTTCTCTCTATCAAATAAGTGTCACTAACAATCTTTCAAGATAAGGTTTTACAAGTTCATAAAAAATGTATTTTTCTTTTCTTACATTTTTGCATTTCATGTAAGATTAAATATCTAGCTTTCGCTCAATAAAAGATGACTTATTTGTAAGCTGTCACTGTGTCACAAGCTACTACGCGCAACTGCGAGTTCAGAAATGAATCTATCCTTTGATCCAGTAAAATAGATTATAAGAAAACTAAGAAATAAAATGATATAATCAAAAACAATTTCTTTACATGTATTTGAATAATTAGGGCTTTGACAATAAAACCCTAAGATGGGCTGTAAAGTATCAAAATTACAAGAGAGAGACAGAGAAAGAGATCTCAGTGTTCAACGACAACATCACCTCGGGTCTTGATCTCTTTTCACTGCGACAAGTTCCTAGATATGTCTTCTTCATCGTTGGAAAAAAGCCCTTTAATTACTGAACTACCCTCGGCTACTAATACCCTTATGAGGACAAAATCGTACATTAAGATCGACATTTGACGAGTGTCAACATCATCATCATGCATTGATCTACAATTTGATCACATTCACATGTATTATTTTTCCATCACAATTAATAACTTGAAATTTGAATTGTTTTAGTGAACAAAGAATCATTCTTATATCGGGGTACTGAGTGTAATCTATACATAATCAAAACTATCATTTGGTTAAAGTTATAATAATCTATGGAGCATGACTAAATATATGTTTAGATTCTTGTAATGATGCCTCATCTCCACCGAATACCGCAAAAGAGGTTTAATTAACTAAAGTTGATATATTTATGTGTATTTGTGTAGACTTGGTTAAGAATAAGATACCATTTTTATATCAATTAAAAAGTATCAAAAAATTATGCTATTTCAAAGCATACAATTGTATGCCAAATATAGATGACAATAATCTTTTTCCAATCCACTTTATTAATATAGTGTGTGTACATATTTTTCTTTAAGCTTTTATTCTTTTCACTCATTGTTCTTTCTAATTAAAATGTGTACGGATTTCTTGTGTTTTGACACGTGGTATATTGTCTTGTGAGAAGTGAAGTTGCACGTATGTATAGACTATATGAAACTTACCAAATGGTTTGGTTTGGTTTATAAGACACGCATAGTTATGTTGAAATTTTAACATATGCTTAGATTGTGTGAACGTCTAAATTTTGACAGCTGAATCATAATATGTCGTAGTTTTAATCAAAATTTGATTGATATCATCTTGGTGAAGCTTTTTTTTTGGTTTAGAATCTAAATAACCCATAATTGGACGTCAGGTTTAACGCTAAAACGTCTTTCTTTTTTTTGTTATACGCCCTCAATTATTAAAATGATACTGTATATAGTTTATACGAATTTAGGAAGTAGAATACACCATTTCACAAACATGATGAGACAAAGAATATTGTTGGTGGGTTATGGCATTTGACTATAATCCCATTGGCACACTAAAAAGAGACAATGACGATGAAGTGAAGAATGCAGGTCTCATTATATTATACACATTTTTTACATTCATATATATATAATTATATATATATGTGTGTATGTGCAAGACGATGTGACATCACAAAATCTATATATATATCTTATAAGTTAAAAACGACAATAAAGTGTGATGAAAAGGAACACCTGAGAATGTGCAATTATTAATAGCATAGTTGTGTACAGTTAAACAAATCATTTTGGGTATTTTTGAGTCTTTAATTATTCTAAGATAATTGTCACTAAGTTTCTGTTTTCCATAACATATGTATTTATAAAGCGTGTGTGATATTTCTTTCCTCTCTTAGTTATTTTTTTTTTTTTGCAAAACATACTTTCATTCAAACTCAACCCATAGGTAGTAGAAAGTTTACACAAACATCAACCTCATTGTTGGAAACATCAAATAACAATACTAGCTCTCTTAGAAGAGAATGGAAAAGGAAAAGGATAGGATAAATCGACCGTAGATCCATACATCGGAGACAAGAACAAGATAGTAACTTGCCACAAGCGAGAGAATGGTGAGTCGAAGACAATTCCACGAATACTTCGGGAGATTGTTGAATGGTCACGGTCCAAACAAGACATAGTGACGTTGAGAAAAAGTCTTTAACCTTGGATATCACCGGCTCGAAACACGAGGCTTCTACAAAGGTGGTTAAGGTATCCAAATGGTTTTGCAAACTTAAGGTCAGAGACCAATCAAAAGTTCTCTCTATAAAAGAGGATGATTCAAAAGTTCTCTCTATCAAAGAGGATGATTCTATCATAAGATTCTTAGACATATAGGAATTGTATGAGCTACTCTCAAGGACACTAAGATCTACCACCAGGGTTAATAAGAGCTCCTTGTCTAGACTATCTATTGTTGTCAACGTGATGAGAGAAAGGAGTCCATGGCCAGTCTCAAAATCATAACGTGACATCAAATATCTAGTGTTTGATAAGGAAGAAAGAAAATCAGACCTGGGCCGAATTGGTAAATGGGTCAGGCCATATGCATTAGTTTTGGGCCGTAGTAAACTTCTTAGTGGGTCAGAAACTATCCAGCCCAATTCGAAAAGGAGATCCACCCCAGCAGCTAGGGTTTTGTCTCCTGATGACTGCCGCTTCTTCGAGTTGAGTGGCTGACCACTATTCCGACATGATTTCACCGGATATGCGAGATCGGAGACGAAAATAGTCGCTGGAGCCTTTATCAATGAGACACGATCAAAGAAACATGGGATCTCCATCCAGAAAGTACCATCGTCGTGCGCCGTCAACGTCTCCACCGGACATGGCGCATCTAATGGTCCAAGAGAGAGATCTCCTGCCATCAACGAAGTCCAGTGTGAGGGTTCTTCTGGGAGGATCAAAATAGATCCAGATCGGGAAGTGGAAAGTTGAGCGATGAGTGAGGATTCTGTCGTTTGGCTTGCATCGCTGGAAATTGGCGGCTTTGGCAGAAATTATGCGAACAGAGGGTGAGACGGGATAGCAAACGCTGAACCCCATCGTTGGCTTCCGTTGCTGGAGTTTGATTCGCCGTTGGAAGTCGTGAGAGATATGGTTCGCAAGGGTTTAAAATATGATTGCAAGAGGAAAAAAGGAATTGAAAACAAAAGGAGTGTAACAAGAGAATAGAGGAAACATGGCAGAGTAGCAACGTCCCGACGCCGGCGATTTTCACCTCCGCCGGCGCCAGAAAACATGGTCGGGAGAGACTTCTCGATAACTGTGTCTAGGAGGATATTGACATTAAAGCATCAATAAGTAATTAAAAGCATGAAGTTAAAAGAAAACTTCACAGCCCTCCTCTCTTAGTTATTTATTCCATAAGAATAAGGATTATAAATTGAAAAGAAAATAGTTAATCTCTAGAGTGTCGACGACTGTTTGAACTGGTATATTTGGATTACATGATACTACACATAAAAATCTTTATCCCTTTCACTTGAGGAGATCATTTCTTGGTAGAACATAGACACTCTTGACCTTTTCCGTTTTTCAAAATCTCGCAATTACTTCGCTTTTCACTAGATCCTGCTTAAAACCTGATATACTATACGCCATGCATTGATCTTTTTCGACATGGTGTAAACTCGAATATGTTTTCTAACTTCTGTTTTCATATAGATTTTTGTTTACATTCAACCAAGTTTCATATAAAAAGCTAGTTTTTAACCGATCAAGTGATTTTCGGATGGCACCACACCAGTATCTTCACCGTACTTTTCAAATCATTAACATCTATTTGGCCCGCAGAGATCAAACATGCATTCAGTGCGCAATTTTCAACAAATATATAACCTTTGTGAAGACTACCATTTAATACTTGTATTTTAGAGTGCTATCAAATTTAACTATCTCCAAAACTATTTTTACTGTCCCGAAAGTATTTGAGGAAATGTATAAATATACTAAGTTACACGATTTGACCACCTAGTATTTTGTCATATTTGAAAGGGGCGATTCCATTCTTGCATTGCATGTCGAAATTTCAAAGATTAATCAATGAAAGTTTAATAGATTTTACTTGGAAAAGAATTTTAAATTGCAAAATATCTCTAAGTAATTAAGCACTAGATGAAAGTGCATTGGTAATGTCCAACATTTAGGATTCGGTGCATAATTTTTGTTGTATTTGTTTGTAACCAACTACAAACATAATGGTCCCCAATTTATCATAATCTTGACAAGATCTTTGAAAAATCAACCCACTTCATAAAAATCAATATAAACCATATGGAGGCATGGACTAAAGTAGTAATGCTCCAAAACTTGAGGGCAGTTTTGTAAAATGCTGACCTAACAACATTTAGTCAACCCTTCAACAACTACAAAAGCACTAAACAAAACTCCATTAAGTCCACTTCAATAGATCTTGTCAATTTCAAAGCATTGTGTAGAAATGAATCCGTCACTTTCAGGATATTATATATAATGAATGGAAAAAAATTGACTTGAGAAAAGCTTACTAGAGAAACAATGTGAAGAGCAAGTTAAACATGAACCAATATAAAGTATAATAGTGGCTTAGGTTTCTAAGAAGTATACAATAGCTTCAAAGAGATTATGGATATGATCTCTAAACAAATCTACTCTATGCATAATTGGCTTCCTTTCAGGCTTCAATTCTATTCATTTGCTCATGCAGCCTCATAAAGGCCTAACATGTAACCATCAGGGCATTTCATAGCCGCAACCTAGTTAAACAAAAAAACAACCGCAAAAATACTTCAAATCCCATTTCAGAAAGTAAGTATGAAATGAAACTTGAAC